TAGCTTTTGTTCTTTTGTTCCTATCCTTATTGTTTGTTTTTTATCGACGAAATGTTATATTAAATCACAGAATCAATACAACTAGAGATACAACCATGCCATATGAGGAAATACAAATTTTTTTATAGAATAGTTAACATCTCCCGGAGGAGAAAGCTAATTGATTCCGTTTTACGGAATCATAATTTAGCAACAATAGAAACTGATCCCGTAAGACGGGATTATATAGTTTGATACCGTCGCAACAACCAGACTCGGATAGATCCATTATATCCCATATTTTACACACAATTATTATTATAATATGTACACAAAAAGATAACAATAGTATTTCAATGGGCCTAAATAGTGTAAATAAAGTTGTGGAATTGTGTAGAATGTTGTGAAAGTTTTCTTAAACTTCACCAGTTAGAAAAGTTTGTGGAATGTTCTGGAATATTGAACATATGACATGAACATTAAAAACAAACGAAATATCACAGATGAAAATTGTGAAAACTAATAAATTGATACCTAATTGAAAATATAACAAGTAAAAACACAATAAATAATCACTGATATAGTTTGAATTTATCTATACAAGTTTATAGACTTCATTCTTTAGACTACAAAATGATTTGGTTTAGAAAAAAAACACAATGTAATAAAAGATTATTATTTTGTAATGTTTGTAAAATAATTTAGTAAAAGATATTATTGAGAAATTTTTAAAAATATTACTTTTAAAATACCACTTTTCAAAAATATCATTTTTTCAAAAAATTTGCAAAAATGCCAATTTTTCAAAATTAGTTTTTCATTATATCATTTATGTTTGGCTTAACTATGTTGTATTTGGGTTTAGTTTTGAGGGTTTTACGGGTCAAAACATTTTTAGGATTTATAATTTTATGATTTAAGTTTTAAAAATTCATATTAGTGGCATTTTTGCAAATTGATACCTCTAAGTGGTATTCTTACAAATATACACACCAAAAGTGATATTTTTGCAACTGCCCTAAGATTATAATTAACA